TTTACGTGATTCAATTAAATTTCTCTGGTTAGGTTGTACATTTATGTGTATATTCCCCTTTTTATTTATAATAATAAAAATATAATGTTCATTTACACAATTTTGATTAAACGTGTAAATTGAGGGTTATGTTTGCATTTACAATTCGTTTCTTGTTCCAATGGCGGATATTCACTCGAACAGTAAGGAACGGTAGAATCCCTGCATGTTTCCAAATTACCATTCTACATGCATAAAGAGATGCATATTTCTTCCTGCGATGAATATTTTATGAACATAGGACGTTGCATCTACTTTATGCAGAATCTTGGAACCGAAAAACGTTCGCGTATCCCGTGAACGGGTAAAATGGCCGACTTTACCCTCCCTTCTCTCTAACCTCTCGCTTTGTGAATTACAGTATTTCTAATTTACGCTCAGAAGCGATACAATTTACGGGCGGAACGACGAAATTTCCCTGGAACGAAAATTCTCGCTCACAAATTCAGCTCTGCGAACTCTGTCCGGTTGACTCCACCGCAAAACAACGACTATGGGAATCGCGGCCCGTAGTTTAGACGTCAGTGATGGGCAAGTAGGCAGTAAACCTGCAGCAACGTACAAAGAGAGTGGGAAGTGGTGGAAAAAGAGAGATTCTCGGAACAACAGAAAGAGAAAGGAACGAAAGATAAGAAAGAAGGAAAGAAAGATAGAAAGGGAAGAAGCGGAAAGAGGAACGAAGAAAGAAAGAAGGAAAAAAGAGAACATTGGCAATGCGGTGATACGCAGCGGCAGCAGTGGCGCCGAAAATGCAATGCGGTGCGCCGGAACGACGGCGTCGGCGTCGGGCGTGGCGGATAACTGACCTCGACTCGTCTAGCCTAGCCGCCCCTGACGCCGCACCGTTTCCCACCAGTTTTATTCTATCCCTCTGATGCACCATCGTGCCACTGATCCCCCCCACTATCGTGACGCTGAATACCACCACTACGTACCACCGTTTGCAACTTCTCTCTATACTCTACTGTACACGTTCGCCCTTTTCTCTTTCTCTTTCTCTTTCCCTTTCTACATGGATACGTGTATGTACGTATACACGGTGGAGCTTTCGTCTTCCTCGTCCTACGGTCAAATGGTCGCGTTACCCCTCCAGCAACGACCTTACTCCCTCTACACCTGCCTTACACCCGGTGTGTCCCCCACCAACCCTGTTCGTTTCTCTATCGTATCGTTTCTGTTCGATTCTTCTCTCCTCTACGCTCGCGTCTACTCTTCTTGTCTCGTCGCGGCCTTCCGCGCCCCTGGCAGATCGGCAGACAGCAGTCTGACTGTCTGGTTGCCCGGCAACGCGCCGCTGCCCGTCGCCGTCGATGAGAGAGGGTGAATTCAGCGATAGTTACGTGCCGCATCCTGCACGAGCAAATGTTAGTACAACGAGACGGCCGGCCAAAAAATTGGGTAACATAGATATCGGTTCGATGCTGGAGGTGTAGGTTCGTTGCCAATGAACTAATTTATGCAAATACTTTTTTCTTATCGAGAAAATCTGACGTATTGGTTTTGACGTTTTGATCAATACTTCAGCAGCAGTGGGTGTTTTGAAAAATTATAATGTACTTGAAGAATGTGGGTGGTAATGTTTAAATTCAAAATACTTTCAAAATTGTAGCATTTTTGCAACGTAGTACTACATTATATAGAAGTTGGTAAAGTTAAGTTTAGATGGCACTGTACCATAGAACATAGATCAACTTCTTCACACATGCATACATACTTCTTTACACATACATACATACTTCTTTGTACATTTTCGAGTTGTCTCTGAATATCGACCACTTGTATTTTGCACGTTATCGATCGATCGTAAAGAGATCGATGGATTAGCTTGCACGAACCCTTGCTTATGGGATAACTGAATTGGAAAGCTAACTGATTATTGTTTAAGAACTGAGAATATTTCATCTAAGGATTAAAGGACACAAAGAAACGTCGCATCGGTGCAGGTAGAGGAATTTAGCGCAGTTAATACGAACGGGCGATAGTATTGCTGTAACAGACAACGCTATCTAGGGGATGAATCGACAGAAGGGAGATAACGGTTCACGTGATTGTTGGGTTAGAAGCGAATTAGGGTTTTCTCAAATCTATTTTACAGGTAAAAAGGAAATGACGGTGGAAAGGAAGTTCTTGGAACTCCATTGCAAGGAACGTGTACAGTTACGAAGGTGTCGGGCCATTCGTTCGCGGTATAATGACCCTCTGCACTCGTACCACTCGCATTCTTTACTTTTTTTTCTTCCTAGTTGGGTGAAACAAATTATTTTGCTCAAATCAACAACGGGTAAAGTGGCGACAACGTATACGTGTCATGGAAAGTCGTGAATGATAGAGCTCGGTAACATAAAACATGATATTAGTTAACAATACGACTTGATACACGTGTGAGGTATTCGTCAGTCACTCAATGCTTAGGCAACTCGAAGCCCTTCTATTGATAGATAGTACATGTGGATGCCTTGTGGTCATTGTACTTCGTCGGTCATAATGAAACAACGCGCAGCAAATGACATTTCTGCCACGATTATTTGTACCTCATTGCTGTATGGATAGCGTCGGCTTATTTGAAGTCTTGTTGAAAGCTACCTTTCTACACTTAAGGAATTTAAACGATCAATCACCTATACTGGTGTGCACTCTTAAAACAATTTGCGTCAGGAATGAAAATTAAAATCTACTACAGGTGATACAAATGTATCAACTAACTGGCTTATTCAGCTACATTGCAACAACATTCCTTTGTTAGAAACCAATTCCTTAGCCAACAAGGTTCGACTGTGTGTGACTCATAACGCAACTGCTCAGTGACTCAGACCCTGAGATTGCTAGCAATGTTTCCAGAAGACGTGGCATCCGATCCTGAGTTATGAAAGTGTTGCTAGAACTATTCAATATCTGTTTTTCGTTTTAAGCATGCACTCAATAGTCATTAGCTTTTTTTAATTAGCAGCGCAAAATTATAACACATTCGTGAAACTTTCTAAATTCTGTTTAAAAGTAAAAAAAGTAGTCAAATCTCTTACCCTCGGCTTATTACCTCGGTATTTCCTGATAGTGATTTAATTATTACAGTATTTGTGTAATAATTATACGCAGGATTTATATACCAAGATTATTCATTAATGACTGCAACAGTTGTTACTTGAATAACGTTGCTAGTCATTGACCGAAATGGCGTGAATCAGCTCGTCCATAGAATGCCTGCTATGCTTCGTGCCGCGCTATATTCTTTAAACGTTGGTTAAAAAGCATCATGTGTTACTCCGTGAGTACATATGTTAATTCCAATATCTGTTTTATTATATACATTGTGTACATATATATTTCTTTTTTATCATGAATAAAACAATGAAACTGTTTTGATCCTTTGTGTAATTACTAACCTCTTTATTGTCAATTTAAATTTAAGATCAAGTAAAAAATATTTCGTTTGGAATATATCAGAAGTTTGTTATCGTAAAGTAGAATGTTGGCATAAATGCTAATGATAATGCTAGTTGTTAAAATATTCTTACAGTTTAATCATTTTCAATCTTACATTATAATTGATTTTCTTTTTAATATTAATGCTTATCTTCATTAAAATTTTATCTGTACATTAACAATTTATAAGAAGTTAATTATCTTATATAATGTAAATTATTTGTACAAGTTAACCATTGTGTAAAATGAGTATATAGTTTCTGTGTATGTTTCATTGCATGAGTGAATTTGTATTCTTGAACGTTTCTCAAGGTCACTGTTATACCCTCATATCATATGTGGATACTACAGTGTTCCTTTGATTCCAAAATACCATCATAATTGTATTCCAAAAACGCAAAAATTCATTTAAATATTAACAAGATTTAGGACTATTGAACACTTTACTTTCAGATGTAGATTCATACAATGAGAATGGGAGATGAATATGTCATCTTCCAATACCATTATCACATAACACATCTCATTAAACATGATCTAAATGTATATAAAATTATATTTTGTGAAACATGTGAAAAAGATACAGAAGTGTGAATAAGATCTACATTTTATCCTGTGAAATTCATACATATCTTTCATTTTTTGTAATATGTATGCACAAATGATTTTTGTATTATACGTATTATTTATCCATATTTAAGTAGTTTTACATTTCATTTAGATATTTACTAAAATTTATCTTGCAAAGTTCGTTTGCTCTCCATGTTATTTGTCATAAAAAATTAAAAAAAAAAAAACGTCATCACTGAAAGTGACACCTTATAACAGGACTGTTGAAGCGTTAAAATATAACTATAAAATAATATTGTACAACTTATTACATGTTAATGAGTGACAAATAGCAGACATCTCATACTTTTTCGAGAAATTTAATAGTATTCCATTGGAAGGTTGTCTAAGTAAATAAGATGGAAAGCACAAAAATATATAATCACTCTGACTTTCAAATGTTTACTACCTGCACTTTATCCACAAAGTATGTGTAATGTGTCTTTCAAATAGCTGACTAGATACATACCTAATATAATAGGTAATTCGGATATCTTTCCTCGTAGCTATCACATGTTCAAAGATTACATGGAACAAATGCAATAAAACTATATTAATAACAACATAAATAACTGAAAGATGTGCAGTGAGTGAAGTTCTATGTTTGGTACTTTTACATGATAAAGATGTTCATATTAAAAAGAGAATGTTAGTAACTACAATGTTTGTATGTGAAATTAAGAAATACACTTTATAGGAAAGTCGACTTATTTTTATCGTTTTTACATACTTTGCGACGGAATGTGTAGATAGTAAACAAGTATAAAGTATTTAAAACTTTTGCTAATACATTTATACAGCATAGACTCACCATTTCACAATAATCTTGTTTCTTTGATACCTTCAAATATATCGATTATATGAAGGATCTTGGAAGATCTTTGCTGTTTACAATTTTGACATATTTTACCTTAATTTTACATCGAAATGCATCAACGATACAAACGCGCAAAATTACGTAAGGCATGATTTACGGATTTTGCTGAGTCCGCCCTATAAGTTAAACAACTTGCATAAAATTTCTGTACTTCAACTGGAAAGTATTAAAAATTCTAATTTGACATACCTTGTAACTGTACTGTGAAATTCGAACAGTTGTTCAGGTTGTGCTGTTGGAGAACCGCCTGCGTTTTGTAATGGCATAATTTTAATGGCTTCCGCTAACCATTTGGATAATAACTAAACAACAAATAATATTTTAAGTATAGAAGTATATGATAGGCTATCTAACATTGAGTAGAAAGAAATTCATTGTGACTTACTTGTCTATTAGTCAGAGAAAGTTCAACCAAAACATCCGCAACATCTGATAACATGTAGGACGATAGCGAGAACACGGATGCATGAAGTAATCTTGTGACTAATGTTTGCCCTTTTTCTTCTAATATGCGGTGTACTAATTGCTGTCGCATTGTATAATCTGTTCGAGTCTTTGGAAAATACAAAAAAACTATCAATACTTGCATGATATCCGAGTCATAAAAAATATTATTGTTTTCATTTAAATACCTCATAGTTACGACCGCAATGTATAAGGTCATAAAAGAATTTCATTACTGAAACATTTGCGTCCCTATGGTCTAAACTACAGGCCATTAAGGCACAGTCAATTATACTTTCCATTAAAACCGAGCATAAAAAGGCTGTGGGAGCCCTTTGAAGAAACCTATTGTTAAAAATAAAGATATTTGTATACGTAAAATATAGTGTATTATTTGTACACCGTCTGAATAATAAATATATATACCTGGCACATAATCTAAAAAGATCATCTACTGTATCAGGATGATTCTTTAGTCCATCTTGTTGCTGAAGTATAGTAAAAGTAGGCCCAATAAATGCTTCCAGCATTCTTAATAAACCGGTGACACATTCTGAATTTATGGCGTATTCATCAACTAATATTGAACCAAGATATAAAAAACAGCTATGTTGATGGGCTGCGTATAATTGTACGATCTGAAAATCCAGAAAACAATGAAAAAAAGAAACATTATGATACAATTCAGAGTTTATAAACAATAAATACCTGTTTCACAAGTGGTTCAAGGAGATGGGCGGAATGTTTTCCTACACAACGAACAGCGAATCTTAAACAACGGCAACACCTTTCCATCAATTTTGCGTCATGTTGATATGTTGTGCATACGTTTGATAACATGGGCCACATCTGTATATAACAATATTAGTATAAAAAATACCAAATACATATCATAAAATTTTAATTATATTATTATTACAAAACGTACTTCGTTAACAGCATTTTGACAAGGATGAAATTCATAAGAATCGTGAATTTTTGGATCAGTATGCCTAAATATAGCGGCTAATCTATCTAGCCATATCACAGGATCAGTCTTTGTTCCTATTTCAATTGGAATTCTACGTTCCATAATTTCGCATAACGGTCTTGCTTGGAACCAACATAATTCCTTCATAGCTTGCGACAGTTCCTCAGCCGGTAAACTTGACATCTTTTATATAAATAAATATATTCTACCATCTTACCCTTGAGTAAACCAATAGCAGCATCATTACTAATAGCAAAACTGTCAAGAGAACGTGCAATTTGTAATAATCCTGGGAAGTGAGAAGCCATGTGTAATGGACAAGCTGTACATATGCTGAGTAATGCACCGCAAGCAGCGCTTCCTAAACCCTTTTGACTTAAACAGGTCAGAAGAAAATTTAAAACAGGTTCTGCAACATTAATGTTAAGTTATCGAAAGAACATATCAAAATAAACCACCTGTAATTATTTAAAAATTTTACCTAAGGATTGAGGGTGATTGTCTATCCACTCACAAAGTTCTCCTAACAAAAGGATACTCGTGTGACGTACAGCTATATGAGTATTTTCTGGTAAATTTAAAATAGCCTCTACTACTTTCGGAACTACATCGTTTTCTTTTCTGTGAATAAACGATATCGCACAAGTTGAATTATAATAAAAAATCGAGTTTTGATGCGTAAGAAACTCACGGTAAAATATTTTTTGCAACTGCTTGCATTACAAACAGAGCAGCTTCGGTCGAATCCCATGTGGGTACATGATTAGGTTGACCTTGCGGTCCTGGACCACCCGTCAAAGAAGAAAACATTTGACGGAAACAGTGACTACTTCCAACTACAAATACTACGTCTTTTATCAGATCGGAAACACGGTTTCTGAAATCTGCAAATTCTTCGCCACCAGCTCCCTCTTCTACCAAACCCAACTGTTGGTTGAAAAATTATATATTTAATATTAAGAGAAAAAATACATACTCTAAATTAAATGTAATTACTTACATGATCTGGTTCCATTTGACAATGCCTACATAATGCTCCAATTAATCTCTCAATATGAGGTCGAAACACTACATTAAGATCATCACTGTTCTTTTGGTAGAGAATTTCAGATAAACGATACCACAAATTAAATGTTATTTGTGCCACTTCATAGTCATGATGTCCAACACATACTAAGACCAGATCAAGGATTTTAATAGCATAATGTTGTTTTCCTCCTGCACAGCCATTTACCATAGTTTCCAAGAATGTCTCAGCTAACTCCGTAAAAATCCGACAATAGTTTATGGATCTAAATAATTCATACAATAACTAAGTAAATATTTAAGATAATCTTGAGTTCTACTACATCTTTAATTAGATAAAAGAAGTAAGGTTTACTTGTCCATATCTTCATGTGCAACAGATAAATGGTATGGTTGTTCTAAAGTCATTACACTAGTAAAAAGAAATAGTTGTAGCTGTTGCAGCTGCATAGTTGATTCGCTATTATTATCCCGACTACTACTGCTATCTTCTTCCAAAACTTGCAGAATTACACATATACAATCTGCAGCTGCTTCATGTAATTGAGATCCAGTCATGTGATTTCCAAGTATCTAAACAGTAATGTGTAATTCTGGAAATGAAATTCACTTAAAGCCATTTCTGATAAAACATACCTGAAGGGTATATACAATAACATCACTTGTGGGTACAAGAGGTATAGCATGCACTGCAATCCAACTTGTAAAACATCTAAGAATTGTAACACGAATTTGTACATTTTCTCCACCATTTTTTAGACACATTTTCTGAAAATGTAGTAAGAGTTAAACACAACTGATATACAAGTATTTCTGTACCTTCCACACTTACTAGAAATTCTGTTACTGTTATAAATATACAAATATATTGAAACCGGCTTATTAATGCATTATACTTTAAGTTTCATTTCCATCTTTTTATACCTAAGAGATCTTGAATTTACTTCCTCAGGTAATACTGTCATTACTTCAAGCAATGGCCATAAGCTAGCTGTTGATTCTCCAAATCTGTTGATTAAATCCACAACTGGTTTTTGCCAAGTAGACATTTGTAATGCAAGATCAGCCAGTGCTAGGCACAACTATAATAATAATCTTGATTATTATGATTATATATAAATGATACACTATAAAAAATATTATACTATGCATAAACCTGTGTAACAATAGCAGAATTGGTGTGTTCATTAATTTGTGATATGTGATTCATTAAAGAATCTCTCAAAGAAATATGAGCCTCTGGAGGTAATTCTTGGAAACATAGTTGTATTTTGGTACGCATTGTTTGTGCAGCAAAGTAACAAGATTGAACATCTCGCTTTTGCTGCAGCATTTCATCTGCTATTTTCCATGCAAATACCTAAAATAATACATAAACATAATAATTATTGTACTAATATTTTTTTCCAATTTATTTCATAATATTAAAATTGCGTACAGTAATTCTACAAAAATTATATGGGAATTAGGTTTTATAACATAAGGTTAGAAACTATTGGATCTATTTACGTTTTTTAACTACAATCTTGTGTATTTGTATCAAGAAATTACCAATAACTGTACAATCAATGTAAAAAAAACATAGAAAAATGCAACGCGTGTACGAATAAAGAATGTAGGGTAATTGTAAAAAGACCGCTAACAAATAACTTACTGATTTTTGTAATTCGTCCAACCATTGAGATGTTTTTCCTGGCCCCGAAGGATTTGAATTATTATATAAAGAATATACAGCCTGGTAAACTGTTTCCAGGTCTGGCGGAGACTCCATTCTTCAAAAAATATTTATTTTCCCGGTAATATCCATACAGTTAATTCCTACTGACAACAGATCACTCGCGTTTCCTACCGCGTTACATCCAATCTCCAAATCCAACCTGTACAACCACTAAAAAGTTCTTGTTCACACTGTCAGCGCATATTCTGCTTTATCGACTTACAGCAATATGACTTTGCCTATCAAAATTTCATTAAACAAATAATTTAAAATACGTACAATTTGAAAAATATTCACCAGTAAAAATCAAGTTGTTTCAGGTATTCTATGTACGATTTCGTTTATATCAGTAATCTATAGGTTGAAGTTATATTAACTGCTATACTTATATCATAGACGATGTACAGGATAGACTTAACACCTTATGGGACTTTGTGTCCCGCGTTCTGAAATACCGATCATGTAAAAAATGAGTGGTTTTGTGACGCCCTCTACGATGTAGAGCGGCGAGTTTAGGAATTATATACAATCTAACCATCAAAGATGGTAAAATCGACAGATGTGAAAGACTCTCCTTTGTTAAATTTGCATGTAAAGATATTTGCATATGTGTGTTGGATTACGTGGGTAGAACTTTGACGATCTCTCGAAAGCAGTAGATGGGATAAATGGTCTTACTGTAAATTAGAACATAATTGCATGTAGTAAGCAGTTTAAAGTTCATACTTATAATAAATTCTTAATTGCTTTAACATTATTAATAACGTACCATCCGTTCAAAATAAGAGTAACCTCGCTTCGCGCATGGGACGTGTTTAAGGCAGGGCTAGAACGTCCAAACCCCCGCTTAAACACCTACGTTTTTCTCCGTCTTACCCTTTGCTACGCTCTCCGTCTACTGTTCCAGGAGTGAAGCTTTCATGTACACGATGATATAATTAATTCTGTATTTACTTTTGTATTGTTCTCTTTTTGGTCTTCTTGCTGCTATCGTTAAAAGAATGTTTCTTACGATCACATAAATAATAAGAAGATCTATTTTGGTTTTCTTCCATACCGTTTTGTAATTCTTCAAATTTTATTTCTTTTTCTAATCATGCGATACTCTATGCGTTAAAAATCGTTCTTTTGTCGGATTGCTTCCCGCCCAGCTTTCAGTAAGTTTATAGCTGCAATACATAATTTTATCTCTGAAAATCTTTAATATTTTTTCTGGAACGTTTTCTGTATTAAAGTAGTTGAGGATAAACGAATAAGCTGAGACTTTTAACTCAAAAAACAAACTTGCTTATTTTTGATTTGTAATGAATGGACTTTTTACCAACATATTTGTCACATTTTTCTGATTAAAATGATACCAAACACGATATAATTTGGAGCATATTTGCTTACTTAATAAATGATAATAAGTAATAAGAAAATACGTAAATATAATTCAAGTTTTTCGCGAATCGCGCGCGCGACACAAAGTTGCAAACGGGAGATCGCGATTGCAACTTTGTTGGCGCAAATCGTTATTGAAAAATGCACATTGTTGCGCGTCGCGCCGTTTTGCAACAATGTGCATTTTTCGAGCACGGTTCGCGGCAACAAAGCTGCAGCCCCCTAGCGCGTTTTTGCAACAATGTGCTTTTCGGGCGCCCGCGGCGAGTCGCAATGTTGCAAACAGCGCACCGTGCAACAATGTACGTTTTTTCGAGAGCGATTCTCAGCAACAATGTTGCAAACTCGGTAACACGTTTGCCACAATGTGCATTCGAAAGTAATACGAGTTAACGATGTTACAAGCGAGAATGACGCTTGTAACAATGTTACATTCAAGCGTAGTGCTTGTAATAATGTTTGCGTTCGAAATAACGCTTCTAATAATGTTGCAATCAGGAATAGAGATTCCAATAATGTTTGTGTTCAAATATAACGCTTCAAGCAATGTTGCATTCAAAAGTAACGCGTACAACAATATTTTGCATTCGAAATAGTGCTTCCATCGATGTTGCATTCGGGAATAGAGACTGCAACAATGTGTGCATTCAATTTTCAAAGATGAACAGTGAAATAAAAGTATCTTGCTACTTAAAAATCACGCTACTGCAACCGTGTCCCACACTTCGATCAATTTGCAACCTCAACTCACACGGAAACAAAGGCTCCGCGGAGAAAAAACGTCATTATACATTCTCAACATATTTCTCCACATATTTCTTATTTTCAAGTACTTTTATTATAGAGTAATTAGTCTTTCTTGTTAAATAACAATTTAGATGGTAGTTTATAATTACTGGAAGTATTAAATAAATTTGTTACACAATTTAACTTAATAAAACAGCTTAATTTATTAACTTGGCAGTGAATTAACAATTGCATGCAGTAGATTAAATAGAAATTGTTTATAACTTTTATTTAACGTTTGAAAATAAATGTTCTTTTTGTGTAATTTAGAAATGGAGAGTTCAGGCCACCATTTCTTCCTTACACACCACACCCATTTCCTTTTGCTCAACACTTATTCGTAATTTCATATTTATATTTAGTTCTAACTCCAATCACTAGTAACGCTGTAATCTTATTCTATACTGAATCGGTAACGTTAGAAACGACATGAAAATGGTAAGGGCACTCTTAGCCCTCCTGACGTAGACAAAAAAATGCATTAAGTGTTAGATCTATCTTGTACCTTGTCTGTGCTTATATCAATCAGAAGGCAACTATAAAATCGTTATATATCAACTGTTTATATAATATATTGCCATAAAGTGGAAGATACTAAAATTCGTTAAAATTATAACTAGATTTTGATCATAACCCAATTGAAGGATTTTTATTTATAACTTCTGAGTTTTCAACTAGTCTATAATGGAATACAGCTTTAAATTCCCCGCCGTTTGTTCGTTATCCGTAGAGTGTTTTACAAGGGAAGGCGTATATCTACCAGGGTTGAGAAATTTCGTTTCTTAGTGAACGCATCCTATCGTGAGTCCTACATAATCTGTGGGAGCAATGTGTCGAAAGTTTATGACGTTTGACAGTTGGACAACAATCACAAGGGATAACATTTGAAATATACAATGAATGATTATAAAATTCCGATAATCGAACCAACTATCGATTATACCAAGGTGCAGATACTCATTTTCAACATTTTTTCTAATTTTACCACTTTTACATATAAACAATTAACTTTTCTTTTTATCTGTAATCGTCTTTTTATTATTAGGTTCCTCCAATTAATCAAAAGAGGACGATTTCTTTCATTAATCACTTTATTGTGCATACTGTAACATTCCTTAATAAATTTGCATTATCATGTGAAGAAAGATTATTTGAATTTGAAAATAAATTACAGAGGATAGAAGCTTCACTAGAAATTTTAGAATCTTGGGTATGTAAACATTTGTGTGTGTAGATAGACAGACAGATTTATGACAGATAAAAATACTTATAATTTCTGGTAATTCATTTATGTTTGATAGTTATCATCTGTGCCTGGTTTAGAACAAGATCAAAATACAAAAGGTGCTATAGAAAGTAATGACAATAAACAAGAAGAAAAAAATGCATCTAAAATAGATGAACCTGATAATATTAAACAGGGTGAGCCTAAAAATACAGAGACTGAAGAACAGCCAATGAATGCAGACCCACGTTATGAGAAATATTTTAAAATGGTACACGTCGGTGTACCAAAAGAAGCAGTTAAATTAAAAATGAAACAAGAGGGTTTGGACTCATCTATTTTGGAGTAAGTTTGACTAAATATTTTTCAAAAATTTGAATGATTAATATTCAAGCTTATGATAAGGTATAACTCAAAAATTAAGCTACATGTATATTTGAAAATTTAATAAAGCACTGATTAAAAACAGCTGTAGATAAAGAAGAAATACAATATTTTGTCATCAATATAATTTCTACATAGTACGATTTTTAAAATTTTTTAACTTGTACAGTGCATTACCTTTGAAGCAGTAACTGATTTAAGATATTAACACTAGTGTTATTTTTTACATTAGCAGTGATTCCCAGCAAATAGTTTCTAAACCAAAGTCTACAGATAATGGTGGGGATAAAGGAGACTAACATTTAGTAATATTCATATGTTAAGTACACAAAATATTTTTATGTTATAAAACACAGTTAATAAAATAAACAACTGTACAAATTCCAGAACATTTATTTCATTTATTAAATACAAATAGAAAGTTAACATACATAACTTCACCCTAGAACTGAATCATTTGTCCCTGAAAAGAAAACATTAGAGGTTAGGTTAGTCAATCCATAAATTATGTAAAAAATTTTGGAGGAATACTTTATATACACTTACCTTCCTCTTCTTGTCACCTCCCAATTCAAAATGCTTACATCTTTTAAGAGGAATTTGTTTCCTATACTTGCATTCTGTACATTCCATTCTTAAGACAATCTTTTTTGTAGTTTTTGCCTAAGAGAAACAAATGTGAAGTTATTACTATAAAATCATAATTTTATAAACAGTATTATAGGAAACTATACTATAAAGTACTTAATTTTTTCGAATATGTACCTTCTTTCTGAATATGGGTTTGGTTTGTCCACCAAAACCTTGCTGTTTACGGTCATAACGCCTTCTACCTTGTGATGCATGACGTTCTTTACTTTTTTTATACTGTGTCACTTTGTGTGGCTTATGTACCTTGCACCTTTTGCAAAAAGTGCGTCTCTGTTTCGGTACGTTTACCTGAAAAAATTGAAATACGTAAAGTATATTACCACGCAGGTCACTTTTTTGTAAATACGTAACTAAAATAATTAAAAAATAATGGTTAATATTTTTTGTAACTTTAAATTATCTTTTTTCAGTTATCTTCTTTTAAAAAATACTGCGCTTTATTTTTTAAGGCTATACTTCCATAGTAAAACAGTTTGTCACTTTTCGAGGTTATGTTTCACATTACTTCGCATTTAAAAATACTTAAAATATTTATACTACTATTTTACAAATACAATATATGCGAAAACATTTAACGTTAGAAGTGATACTTCTTCAAGATTATGGATAAAATTTCGGATAAATTGCACATATTTCGAATTGGATGTTTACCTACCATATTGGATGTTTAGAAAGAAAAGGAAACGTATTCTAACCGGAAATAGCCATATATATGTATATACGCATGCGCATGTACCATACGCTGTACAAAAATTGGAAATATAATGTTCTTTTTTTTGAGGAAACGTATAAATATTAATATGATGTTTAACATAATACCATTCTATAAAATCCATTCTGTGTAAAGTTAGAATAAAAATGAGTATCAAAGTTTTTAATTTTTTCAAACGCAAAATTTCGATTGCATATACGCCATTAACAGCAGGCATCAAAATTGGTTTAATATATAAGACGTCCAATCAATAACGGCAATTATGTTATGTTCTTTTTATTGTAGTTTTTCATTTGTAACTTACTATCTGTAATGAAATATTGTTAACTATAGTAACCCAGTATTCCTTTTATATACTAAAAAGGCTTTTAAATGAAAGAAAATGATGCACAACGTCCCAAAACAAAAGAGCATAGTAATAAAGTATCACTATCTTTCTTCCACCACTCAGTTTTTAGTTACGAAGATGGATAATGACTTATGTGCATGGTTAATTTCGTTAACTATTAATGATCATAACCTTCTTTTTAGTTTTACTTCAACAAGTAAAAGTTCATACGTATTCGACAAAGTTGAATTTTATTTTTCATAAACAAAAGTCTAAAAATTAGAGTTAAAAGTATTCAATGTATTCAATGTTGATAATATCTACAGTATATTGCATGAAATATACATTTTGAGTTAATCATTCTAGAAACATAGAGTAATAATTACATTTTTTATAGGAAATTTCTATTTTATTTAGTACATCTATCGATTTGTTTTAGAAGGAAGGTATTCAAGATGATATGAATGTTTTTGTAGCGGCAGAGCTTATTTGAATCGAGTATCATAGCCTCGTACCAGACGGCAAACTCAGGCTACGAACTCTCGAACCCCTCGTCCTCCGCAGGATTTAATTTTATTTATACGTCAGGTGGATGGATTACGTGGGAAATGTTTACAAGAAATAATAAAATATTATATAGCGTTATAACCTTTCCAATTAGGTGCAGTGGCACGTCAGGAAAGGATATTATGATTTCAACCAATCAGGCATTTATCGAGTTTCAAACCCGCGCCATCTTCATTTTTGAACAAAGCCAGGTTGGATGTGCTAGGAGCGATCCGAGACCGAGTAGTAGTCCGCTTTGCGCTATTCGCGCCACAGTCGTCAGTACACGGCACTGTCCACTCCTGACTGGTTCGACTCTGTCTCACCCTCCTTTCCCCTCTTTCTCCCCCCTCTGCCCCTTGGGTTTTCGCCTGACGACGCTGCTCTCTCGGGCATTTCGCCGGAAACCGACGCCGCGCGAGGACACGGAGTTTTGTTACGTGTACACACCGCTCTATCTTTTTCACCGTTTATAAGCAGACACGCAGGCATCTTGCCCAACTCCCGCATTCACCATGAGCAGCAAGGAAAACAACGAGGTCGCTGTCGAGAAGGTGACTGAGAACGACAAGGCTTCCGGGGACGCGAAGTGTGAGATCAAAGGAATGAAGAGGCCAGCCGAGGTGAGTCGTCTTTTGCTTTTTCCCCATTTGATTTTTTCAACTACCGCTTTTTCGAACATTTTCATGATTGTACGTAGGCGTACACTTACACACAAAAGCACGTACACGCCGGCTTACACCATGCTTCCGCGCCACGCTGCTTGATCACAGCATTATCTATGATTTCGGAATCAGCATTTATATAAGACGATTCAAAATTCGTGAACCTTCGTCCCATACGATTTTCCCGCTTAGAAAGTTCCACGTGAATATTCGTGTTTTGCATCTTGCTTCAAAATGAGTTCATGTTCTATACGCGATATCGTTGTATTCTCGAGTACAGACGGGTGGGCGGGCAGTCGAGTGGTCGTTTCAACCGACTGACGGCATGGAAGAAGATAGGATGCCGGCCGGCATTTTCATTAGACTCCATATTTCCACGACCTTAAGAGAAACGCGCGAACCCTACTGTATGTTTTTTTTCTTCGAAGCGCATGAGAGCATACGTAATCACGATGTTTCCTCGATTCACAAGCGAGGGACGCCATCGTATTTTGCGTGGCTGCCACGAGCACGATAGTTCGGTTGATCACCCCTGTTGTTACAATGCCGTCTATAATTACCAATCTGGATTTCATGTTACCAGCTAATATCAGATTCAACATTCTTTCAGTCGTATTTCGCTAACGTGGACACGAAATTCGGGCGGGATCTCGCCTACTAGCGCCATGTGCTCATTTCATACAGTTTTCGTGTGTATGCATTCTCAAAGCTTTCTTTACCTATTACAGTGTTTCGAGTTAAATATTCTCAAAAACATGCTTTTATATTACTTGACATTCTTTCCACAAGATGGACGCCATTTTTTATCTAGAATACCAGTGTTATAGGTAGGAAAAGCGAGCATCCCGCGCATTTTTCCGACCGCCGTTGCTGCCGCCACCACCACTACCGCTGTGGGTTTCCATTATGGCGCCCGAAACCAAGCCCGCGTTCATTGTGCTTTCTCTCTCGCTCGTTCCATCTTCTCCCTCCTTCCCGCCTTCCCTCCTTCCTTCCTCTCCTTTTCTTTCGCTCTCTCTCTCTCTCTCTCTCTCTCTCTCTCTCTCTCTCTCTCTCTCTCTCTCTCTCTCTCAACACACGCACACTCGTACACTCACTCTCTCTTACTCTGTGTGTCGTAATTGATCGATAATTCGTTGTAAGAGGGTTAATCATGTCTGACGGACGATCGATAGACTAACACATATCTTTCAGGTCGACGTGTTGCTCTGAAATTGTTTACCGATCTGCGTGCATAAACACCGCGTTGAAGGCTTCCTTTCCCGCTTTGCTTCTCTCTCTCTCTCTCTTTCTCCCTCGTCCCCTCTACCCGTGTCTCGGCCGTTGTGCGGTTCTCTCTCTTTCCATCTAAAACCCCACGCGTACAGCCAGCAGCAGGAACGCCATGTATTATATACCCATGCTCTCCTGCCTCCCTGTTCTTTCGTAGTATGCCGCGTAGTGTTACGAACCTTCGAGAAAACATCGTCGCGTTTTTCATCTTAAATTGGACCGTCATTCGACGTTGTGATAAGAGTTGCTTATTTGCAATCTATAATGTATTGTACGACTATCTCTATGAAAGTTTGCAAAGTGAAATTCGTGGTCGAAAATGCCGGTATCCACGTTGTCGGTCGTCTCTGTAGGCTAGAAAGTCTTCGCGCAAGCGGCAATAGTATGTCACGTGGAAACCACGACCGTATCTCCGTCTAAATAGATTGAAATACTTTTATTATCATTATCTAGTTAGGTTTTTTCATTTGCCATTTATAAGATAAAAACCCACAATAATGCTTGTTTACATTTCTTTTGTGTTATATTTTCGATTGCGTCAAAATTGCCAGTTGTTATTTTTTCATCTATGAAATTGACTTTCATTTAGAATTAATATGTTTGCGTTTTACTCTGATTACGTGGTTACGTAGTAAATACGGTGAGTATTACTTAGTACTCGGAGAGCCTATGACGCAAGCGCGTATGGATTGGAGAGAATATGGTAGAGGAAAAAGGCGGGAGTTTTGAACAACGTCCAGACTTGGATGTATTTATTCAATACCATGCATTTTCTACGAAACCTAACTTTACAGTTTATGATCTAACATATTTAAATTAATTTTCCCTTTTTTAAAGAAAAAACTGCATATTATTTTCATTGTACTTAATCTAATTTAGCCTTGAATCGAAGGGGAAAGCTGTTAAATTAAACGGCTGATAATCACGTGCTTATTATGGCGTCAAATTAACGTCATTTACTTCATTTTTGTTAAACAATTATCACTAAATTTTTCTCCACGTAGCCAGTTTAGCTTTTTATGTATGTATAAACAGTGATGCTTCTGGTAACTCAAACATGGCCAAATTAATGCCTGTTACAGAAGAATTATATAACGATTATTCATGGCTTACTCGAACAGACGAGGGAAACGGAATGAGTCTATACGATAGGTTATGAACGTTGGGTTATCTGTAAAGACCTCGTGATTAGTAATAAGTTGATAGGTAATCGTGTCTGTGGGATAACAAGCAACATCGTCATTTCATGACTACACTGGGCGTCCGTACGTCACTGTCATTTGCCATTCGTTGTAAACTACTCGGCAACGCCATGAATGTATAGCGGTAACAGTTGCCAACAGATTCTAGTTCGAAGAAAGCGCGTCAAGTTTCAGAGACATATCATAACGTTCTGCTGCCCGAGACAATGGCCTTATGAATTACAAGCTTCTTTTTTATAGAATAATTCCATGGACATGTTATTTACATTGCATTACAATTGCTCAAGTGATGTTACGAAAATACCATCGATATTTATTAGAGATTAACTGACGTTGATATTGATACGTTATGCTTAGTCTTCAAGTTTATGAAATGAGATATTACGTTCCGTTTGATAAAGACGCTTGATAATATGAGACGGTGTTACGTTGAAACAGCTCGTTCCCCGATGATTTCAAACGTATGACGATCAGATTATTGGAATTCGTTTACTTAAATATATATACATCTATATGGACGTTTCATTTGTTTCATAATATAATATGTAGATTATGTACATTTTTTTACTTCAGTTTGAAGTTCATAGCGGCGGCTCTTAGTCCATGCATGATACCCGGACACGCTGCTTCGTGCTTCTCTGTGTTCCCCTCTTTTCCCCTTTCGTGTGCTTTACGCAGCACGAACACATCCCTTCTACAAACATGTATCGTAGTAGTCTGCCAATCCCTACGTTCCCCCACTACGTAGTCTTAGTCGATTCGTCCCTTTGATTGGATGATGCAGTTCTGCGAGTTTTCTATGCCCTCTTTCCTCGTACCGCCGATAGACACGGCGCGTGTATGCCATTACGACAACCCACCCTGGTCACGAGTAACGCTGTATGAACACGAGTTTAAGGTACCGGCATTTCGAGGATCGTGCGAACCGTACACATTTCAAAAACACTATCGTTCCATTTTTGTTTGTTCCGTCCGGGACTCGATACCAACCTCTTAGATTATATTTACGCTCCTTGGCTTTAGACGAACGTGGGTTGATAAGATTGAACTTCGTGCTATACTTAAAAATATACGAAGAATCGAACGTATAAATGGATACGTTAAATAAGCAAAATTGTTAAACGAGCAAATTATAAACTAGGTCATATTTTTTTAATATTAATTCTTTTCACGGGTATTTTTATGTTTCTCATAAGGTTGTTTCTTTAAATATATAAGTGCTGCTGCGTTATCGGACATTTACATGCAGTGTGGTAATCAATATACTTATGTCGATTTCAGTTACATTTAAGTACACTGAAATTTTTCTGTAACTTATGTTTTTTTAATATTCTCTAATGTCTACAGTTTCTTTTTTCATAAAAGAAATACATCAGTCTTTGTGTCTTCCTGTTTCGCCATATTTTAACGGAAAGTCCCCTCCACTTCTCTTTCCATGTCCTTACGTTTCTTGGCGGGAAGGGAATCCTCTTCATCCGTTTCCCCCTCTTCTCTATCTTTCGGCCGTTGTCAGGGTTTCCCCTATCCCTGTAATTCTCCCACTTCTTTCTACGATGGTTAACTTTCGTGTATATGGAAATGGAGTTCAAATGGGAGATTTATTTTTACATTTGTTCCAATTTAAAAATATCAATACGGAAACGTATAATGAAATTTTAAACGAACGATCGTTGAAACGGCTATTTATTTTATGTTTCAGGAGAAAAATGATGATACAAAGAAACAGAAGAAGGAAGAAAATGGTGATGGAGAAGTGGAAGAAGAGGAAATAGAAGAGGAGGTTGAAGAGGAGGAAGAAGTTGACGGTGAAGGCGAAGAAGACGATGAAGACGACGACTTACCAGAAGGAGAAGAAGATTTAGAAGAAGGAGAAGGTGAGCTGTGAAGAATTTTCCAACGTTTCTCGAATTTCTCATGATTATTATTCTTCGTGATTATCATCAATGATATGGTAGATTCACGCGACACCAGAATCGATATTTCTGTGTGGTTGGCTAAAAAAGGTATGGTATACTTGAATCCCTTTTGTTTACAGACGAAGAGGAAGATGATGCAGAAGGTGAAGTAGAAGGAGAAGTAGAAGACGAGGAGGAAGACTCATAATGAAAAAAGGGAAAGGTGTATGTAAGTAAGAAGGGAGGTAGGCACATGGCATCGTCGTCGATCTTCGGCAGTCTTCTCAGCAAACACTTACTCTCATATTGAGTGGTTGGTAGCAATGTTGATATCCATCGTGCCCAGACCCTATTGCCTCCCGACCTACGAGTAAAAATTCCCACCTCACCGGAGTTGTGGTGGGCTGACACACATTAGAGGCAGCCGCAATTCTACTGTCTTGGCTCTTCGCAATTCTGGTCGTCTAGCCATCACCAAATGCTGTTAAGTAGTTTGAATGAAAACTATATATTCGTCGTGAGGAGCTTATTAAATGTGTCGATTCTTCATATAATATCTAAGTCCCTCCGTGCCCAGTCGTACGTTAGGTAACACACACACACACACACACACACGCGTTGTCGTATGTTCCTAAGGCGAATCTATCGTTTTCTCCAAACCACTTATTAAACTGGTATTTGCCATCATCTGGCTTTCTTCGCGGGACAGTTTTATAACGGAAACTTATTTAAGATATAAAAAGCTCTATTGTATTTAAATAGTGTAAAATGAACATTTGTGGGTGATGATTTTTTTACATTTGAAATCAAATTTACGTTTGTAGTTCGACGAATGTCTCTCACCTTGTGCGCGTGATTGATTTTCCTTTTCAATCTGTACGTATATTTGCAATGACATTGCAGGAGCGCGAGCGGTAAAAGAAAAAAAAGGTAAACAAATAAATAAAATGGATCAAGTGGTGCATAAAGGAACAAAAATAGTAAATAAATAAATATATGAAGCCGAAAGGACATCTCTCGACATTCGATGTATACTAAAAGAAGAAAAAGGAAAGAAAGCAGAGATTTTAATAGTCTTAAGAATTCTGCTTCGTGCTCCTGTTTCAATTCGAGAACAGGAATTAAGGTTAATACAACGCTCGCGCCAGGTAGTGTGGATGAGTAATGTGTGACTTTAACATTGCATAATAATTATACATAGCATGTATAAAGTTATGGAATAAGAAACATTTTATTATTAATGATAATATTATGTAACGTAATGTAATGTGGAGAGGTTGTTACAATTTAGGCTTGGAGTATAATAGAGTAGGGAGAGAACTTTTTATTTTACACAAAGCGCAGATATCGCAGATTAACTTTTCTTTTATTTCTTTGAAGCAATCTATTCCATTTGTTCATCAAGTATATAAGTTTCTTGTCTTTACGTAACAACTTTAAAACGAAGTCACGTAGCGCATTTCAAAAATCGTTCAAGATGTTTAAATGCAAACAAAGAATTATGAAAAATCGCAACGACAAATTGACGAGAAATACACTCTCCCTATTCGACTGCACTCATTCGAGCGTAATTCATTTGTATTTTATGTACTATGGTTTTATTTCGATTTCATTGTCATGGACTACTCGAGCAATGATTCGTTGACTGTCGCAGAATGAGTGACAGTATTCTTCTTATTAACGACAATTTATCCCTGTGCACACACGGTGATCAGTGCTTAATAATGACGTATCCACAGAATTATAAATGGTGTCGGATAATTTTTTAACGAATTATGAACATGATTCACTGGTTACCAAACGATCGCAATATATATGCTCCTTGTGCTAGAGTCGGTGGATCGTTGCGAATGGAATGGTCCATGCCACCACCTATTTCGGGAGACTGGTAAACAAGAGGGGGTGAAGAGGCATTGCGGTTACGATACCATTGTACCATAGCTGCATAATAAATAAAGGTAACGATAATTTGAATGCGAGACGATGTCCCACGTTTTAATGTACAAATATTTTCGAATGAGATAGTTAAATAAAACGCAGTTAGATCAGAGAAAATGATTCGTTCTCGTAAGTAGTAATGGGTTTGACATACGAAGACAAATTACAGTAATGGCAGTATTAAAAGAAGAAAAAAAAAAAAGAAATAAAACTGCTATTCGTGGACTGAATTCTGCTACATTGAATCCAAGGAGATGGGATGGACTGTGTACAGCACGTTTATATGATAAACCCGATTTATTCGATGTTATAAATGAGATATATGAGATGACAAAATCCAAGTAAACCGTGAATAATGATGCGTAATGCATATATAGCAATTTATTATACCGTTTACAGGCCATACCATCTCCACGAACTCTGTTACTCTACGGTTTTATACACAATCTGCTGCTGTATTTACACGTGTTCACTTCAAGATAGTACCTTGACGATCATGTTGACAAAGTCTATCTTAAAGTACAGGTGCCTGAGCAAAAATGAGTACTTTAGCGTTCATAGTATACAATACATACACTATAAGCATAGGTCCATTTAATTTTATTAATACAATACCAAGCCCCGTTTGCAACTTGTCCAAAAAAAGATATGAGAATGGACTTGCGTTTTGTACTTTGAGCCAGAGATCTCGGAACGCTTCTCTGCTCCGGTACTTAACGCGATTCTGAAAATTATTCACTGGTGCTAACGGGTCTTACAATCAATCAGGCTGATCGCCCAGATACCGTTACATCCCTACATTTGTTAGGTAAGCATTAAACACAAAAAAAAAAAACAAAAATGGAATTTAAGAATCTTAATGATTTTGGTAATGAAATATGTCACGATTTAAACGTAAACGAAAATCCTAGGCTAAGAATTTGGTTTGTGTGTTCATAAGTCTTGTTCAAACTACTTTTGTACAGGATACCATCGCATCATCACTTTCGACATAAATAGTAACCGATACCACAGACTATATTTCTGCCCATTCCATCAGAATTGAACTTTCATTGTATTTTTAAGTAAATACATTTTGGAAAACAACACAGATGTTTTTTTATTCTTCACGTGATTGTGAAGGAACGACGTCTTTTCCCTATTTATTATTTAATGATTGCTCGACAACTCGATCTTTTAGAGATAACTTTAGATTAAGAACGTTTTTACTTACCATGTATATACATATAAATTAAGGATTACATGTAGTAATGCTGTGTAAATATTAATGAAACAATTTACAATAAAACATGTACCTAATATGTGATACACTGGATTAAACACTACTGAACTTCAACATGTATATTTATTTACACGTATAATTGTATGTAAAATTATAATGTACTCTTAGATGTAAATTGTATATGTAGCAAACATATGTACCTACGTATAATGTTATTTGTATCTGGTATTGTTTATTTATAAAATAATTTCTGTAATGATAAATGATTTTAAGGTGGTATTTGGTAACTGACACTGGAATACTACAATCGCGAGGATTATATATAAAAAAATTTACGATGGAAGATACTCTTTCCTATGTAACCGTAATTATATTATACTAAAAATTAAAATTTAAGACAGAAATTTAAGTATGAATCAACGTACCTGGACGGAACATGTATTGGAAATTTTTTTAATCGGATACACATCGGAAGCAGAGTAATGTGCTCAGATATTACTCCGAATATAAAAGACTATATTTACAAACAAACAAATTTGTAGCAAACATAAATATGTAAAAAATAAAAAAAATCAAACAATTGTATAAACGTGTAAGATCTGTAAAAGAAATTACTGTCTGTGGATGTTTAGTTAAGCAATTTGTACGAATACTGCATGCAGATTGTCTTTTACAATATACACTGTATTTTGTTCACTATGAGTTTTATTTTATACATAAATCATTTTTATTGAGACACTTTGCATGCACGTCAATGCTTGTAGATTTCAATACACTTTGATCACAGTCACAGCATTTTATATATCGCTTAAATCGATAAATATTTTAATTCGTAATATTGAAAAAAGAACACGTGAATGTTAGAAATCATACAAAAAAAAAGTATCAACAGTGTTTAAAACTGATGATCGATCGAAGTATTCTATAAGATTATACAGTAATGTACTGCGACATAATCACAACCAATTAAATATTAATTACACGGTATACTAGTTTAAAGAAGGTTTTCGTTCAGAGAATAACATTTATACAACGTATTTTTTTCACAATGTTATTAAAAATCAATAAAAAAAAAAGAAATGCACGACTTGTTCAGTCGTCAAATCCCCGTCTTGATTTATACATACTATTTAAATTGCACAATTCTTGAATGGTGTTATTAGTGATTCTTGTAAAACTATCGGTCATGTTATTTTCTTCCATGTTGCTCGCTTCTGCGTTCACTCCCTTGCTCGTTTCCGGCTATATTTAATAACGGTTTATTTTCTTATTCATTGAACACTGCCATACGATAAATATAGATTTTTAATACTATATATACCTTGATGGAATCCGAGATGGATAATCCACTGGATAGATTTTCAGAAAGAGCAGTACCAAAAGCGGCCAGCTCCGCCGAATCAAGTTGATTCAGACTCAAGTCAAAACTATATTGTTGACTGTCCATATCTAAAACACTTGTAACATCTGCTCCTTCCACTGCACCTGTTAAGCGTATTAGAACACGTGAATCATTATTCTAGAATAATGGTAAAACTCGATATAGCAATGTACACAATATTTATTTATACTACCAGTATTGGTCAATGGATGCAATCCATCTTGATAGTTTGATGTCATTCTATTTAATACTAATTGTTCTTGCAGCTGTGCTTGTAACGTGTTGTGTACGTATGGATATTGTGCTGCATGCGTTCCGGCTGATGGCTGTTGTACAATATGACTACTTGCTGACTGATATTGCGGTGATAGTTGTGATTGAATAAGAGCTGGATTGTACGGGCTGAACTCCATTGGTGATGGTGTGCGACCTGGCGATAGTTGTGGTCTATACAACGTATTGAAATTTGTTCGTATCATTTTGTTTCTTAAACTATTTTGCTATACGAAAGATTCAAGTTACCTCAAGGTTTGCATACTTGACTGTGGCTGTGGAGAAGTTGTGCCCATTGAGTACAATGGAAAAGATCCACTTCCGACCGGACCTCCATACGGAGATATCCTCTCTATTGGCTCTGGCTTGATAATGTTAAAATTGTATTGATTTGGTTGATTTAACATCGCAGCATCTACAATTACGACCAAACGAATGTACATCTAACGGCGAGTAGAATTTCAACGTAGGACATGTTTGTTACTTTGTTAATATAACTACAAACGATCTTACATTTGTATCACACTTAAGAATACTACCGATGTAAGTTATTTAATAACGAAACACACGTAGCGACAAACAACCACAGAAGACTTGCAATAAGCACAATTTGTATAAACAAAAATGTCAAGTGAAAATGATTAGGCGACAATTTATAGGAAGCAAAGCTTTAAAGTAAGAGAGGAAGGGTTAGTTGTAGAATAGATACATGCAATTTTATATATTTTCACTCCAAACGTCACTCTATAAAAATTGTATGTCTTGTATTGCAATAAAAAAAAACAGTCAAATATAATTAGCAAATATCAAACAAACTAAACTAAGTATTATTATGTCGTACCTGCAAAATCTTTTTCTACATATTCCTTTAAATCTGAAATTGATTGAGAGTAGAATAAAAACACGACATTTTTATAATGTAAATAATTGTACATATATAGATTGATATATTCTGTATACGTAAGTCATACAATATATAGATACAGCTATTTTTTTTTCTTTCTTTCAAAGAAGCAGTTTATAAAAATCTGTATTGCCATATAAATATTGCACATTATTTCCGTTCTTATCGTTATATTACCGAGTATTTAAGTACAATATTATTGTACGAGAGCAGGGTATATATATACTGTTCAATCTCAAGCTGTAACAGCCTTTTTCTGTAACACGTTATCATTAACAACGTGCGTTTTTTTTTCTTCGTCGCATTAGTGGATATAAAAATAACATCCATTCCAGTAATCATCGGTAATAATTACAAAAATACGTTTCTCTTTTTTTTTAATGTACAAGGCCACTGCCCTCCAATCATTCAAGCACAAATTCCAAACGTTTATACAAAATATGTTCTTAAAAAAGTATAAAACAAGATTCTTCGTCAGTGTGTGAAAATATATATATATATATATGTATATATATATTTATATAAAATATATATATATAGTATTTCTTAATACAATGAAGATTCTAATCCATGAAAAAATATCATTCTTTGCACAATGGAAATTCTTGACGATTTTTTTAGGTTATTAGGCACTTTTGGACGAAATTTAACGGAGAGAATATTCAATGATAAATACAAGAAAACTTGAACATTTCCAGCGTGCAAAGAGATTGGATTAATTGTATGGTTAGTATATGACTTGACTTAAGAGCGCTGAAACATTGATATTCCGACAAATGTAAACTCGCGATTCGTAAAAATACCATAAACATTTTCCAAATGTACAAGTTATTCCAAACATTTGGAACTTCCAACAAATTTTTCTATATTCGTTACAACAATCATTACAACAAATAGGGCTTAACAGGCCCGTTAAAAAATGCACAAAATATTGATTGCTGGCATCACTGAGACAGCTTGCTATAAATTTATTCTTTTCTTGCATACAGTATGGGAGAAAGTGTGAATGTGAAAAATTAGTTATATAATACAAAGAAGTAGGGCCAGAAATGTCGCATAAGTGGTAGCACAAGTATGCTTTTGAGAAAAATTTGACGATGCGACGATGCCAATGATATCATTTAAACCCACTCCCAGCAAAGCTGTAGAATTGAAGACAATTTAATACAAATACTCACGCTTTTCAGCTTCTGCCTGTACATGCCTCAAAACTAGCGCGTTTGGGCTGTTATTAAACTTTTGTCTCTTTCGCCTTAATGAATCAGGATCATCTATAAATGATTGCACATTAACCATGTGATTTATAAACATTTATCATATCAATTTTTCTCTGAAGACAAATGATCCTATGAGTTTCACAATACTTCCTTACCATTGAAAAAATAGCATAGCTGCACAAATGGTTAATAACTTGTTTCAAAAAAGGGCTTACAAATTACAAACAAAACGATCTTTGATTTTTTAAACTATAAATTAAATGCCTATCCTAAGACTAGAAACAAAGTCACGTTTATAAACTTGAGACACCATAAAAAACTTAACAATGTGTGTCATAAATAGTAAAAAGCAATGCGCAGGATAAGAATATAGTAAGTAGCAACACTGTAAAATTTGACTAGAACGAACGCTAACTCTTTGACAATAAACAACAAGTTTCAGGTTGAGCTCATGTGCTTCAACCATCTTTTAAGATGCATATGAAAGACTGTGGAACAAAATAACAATTTGTACCCCGACTAGAATAGCGTTAAATTCGTTTCAAGTGTGTTTCGATCAACGGGGAGCACGATAAAAACTTGTCGCGTTTTTCTTTGGTCATAAAAAAATGTTAAAAAGTATAAAATGCATCGCAAGGACGCAAGCACACTCAAATTGTGAGCATTTTAAATCACAACTGCGTATAAGACACTCCCTTCAAATCATCATTTTTTTTTTTTCATTCCTGAAAATATACCAGGGAAAAATGTCACTCTCAAATGGAAGTGGACTAGCAAAAACACTTTAAACACTAAAGCAAATTATGTTTCCTTTTTATCGGAGTATATCTTTCCACCTTCTACTGGGCTATAATAAAACGACATCTCATCAAATTCTGAAGCTGTTGCGTGTGGTGCCATAGCAGTATATAGAGCATAATGCTCAGCTTCTGTTAATTCCATTTCACACGATGGAGATTCATCGTCATCTAATCTAAGAGACTTAACGCTAGTGGTACTCGTTCCGCTAACTCGTGGAATTTGTAACTGTGCGCTGTTTGGTATATTACTTGTAGTTAAATATGAAATACTTCCTGAAGTATTTAAAGAATGACTATTTTCTTTTGACACATTACAAATTGTGTCCTTATCTTTTTTTGCTTTCTTTGCGAACAATTTTGAGAACAGCCCCTGTTTCGAGCTTTTAGTCAAAGTACCGGGTAAAGAGGGCAAGTTTTTGTTTGGTGCTTCTACGAAAGAATCAGGTGTCGTATGAGCGGATATAGGACGAGGTAGAAGAGGCATGGAAGGCATTTTGCGGATACGTTTCGGTGGTAAAGGCGGTAATCTCTCTTCCGTTTCCTGTGTTCCATCTCTCTTCGTAGTTGCTGGAGGCGAAGGACAAGGTTTAATTGGATTTGGTTTTGGTACACACACGTCTTCGTATTTTCTCTCATTTGGTAAATCCAAAAATTCAATGGGATTTTTCATAGCCATTTGTAGACTAGTGTAAGTCTGATTATCGCAAACGTCAATATCCATAGATTGATCGGTTGTATTTTGTTCAAGAGCTGCTTGTACCAACTTTGCGTGCGTATCGGCATAAATTTGGTCTAATTCGGCCACTTGTGTTAATAATTCATTGAACGACTTATTACAATCCTCTGTCGTTTCTGTTTTAAAATCTGTCTCGATGTCTTTCTCTTTGAGAGACATTTGACCTTTTTGCACCCATTTGCCCACTTCTGAGTAATCGAACCAGTCCGATTTATTTTTGGACATGTCTGTATTCTTTAATACGGACATGTTATCAGCAGTACTATCAGACTTAGTACAAGTTAAAGTACCAGAATTGGTATCGTTCGTCTCTTTATCTAGATAGTTATGATCGATTTTGTACATTTTATTGATTTGTTCGTCTTCTGCAGATTTCCCTATACCGATTGGTACTTCGTTATTTTCGTAATCTATAATAGTGTTTTTAGTATGACCTGTATTTTGCTCGATGCTCTGATTTATTTCTGTGTTTCCGTTACAAGAGTCCAATGTATTTCTTACGTTGAATAAATCGTTTAAAGCGCGTAACGCAGAAATTTTGTTGTTCGAGTTTTTCATATTGAAATCATTATTATTATTATATTCATCGATATTACGCGGAAACTTCGGCGCGACGTTCGATAGTAACGCCGATTCAGTGGCTAAGATTTTACTAAATGTACTATAATCTGTTTTCTTCCTAGCAAATGCTTTCCGTAATGACCAGAAAGCAGGCCTACCTGCACCGAGAGGTAACATCTGAAAAGGTAACGGTTCGCTCGTCGCACCATCCGATGGTCTTTTGAGTTGAATGGATACTTGCACCGGTTGTTCCACTTGCTGTATACGATAAGTGGGTGTTCTGAATGCAATTGCTGTCTGTTAACGTAAATTAAATATAGAATTAACGTATCTTTGTCAAATTAATATTATATGTGTGTTAATATTTGATGTCTGTAAGTTCACAAAAAACATTAAGTGCTATACATACTTGTTTATGTACATGAGTGGGCTGAAAATCACCGAGTCCTTCCCAAACCACTTGTCCATCCTTCTCCTCAAAGAATCTAACTTGTATATCTTCTTTTGCAACCTTCTCACATAGTAAAATCATTTCCATACCACCAGCCACTGATGCACTGCAATGACTAAGCTTGCATATCACAAGATCTGACATTGCCTCTGAAATATTTAAAGCATAACTAAATTGCTTGGAAACAGTTAGATTGCTTGCAAGTTAAATACAAATTGATTTAATCAATTAAACATACTTTTATCAAATATAGGGTCAGATACAACTGGTGGTAGTGCTACATTGAATTTCCCTTTCTGTGATCCATCTAAGAAAACTTGAAAACATAATCTCACTGCATTTAAATCAATACTAGTAGGCTGTCTTTTATGTTCGAAGCCAGCTATAAAAAAAAAGAAAAAATTATTATTTTTATGTCAGTTATAAGTAAATACATATAACGTATTTTTAACGCACTTCGAAAGGGATCTACACGAATGTCCTCTCGTATTCTAAGTGCATCTTCAATGTCTTTTTTTTTAACACACTGAATACCAAGATTTGCAAATGTAACTGTCATATTTTCTGATGAAACTTCTATCGTACAAACACCTTTTTTACATGCCTCCTTTCCAACAAGATTATGAGGATGAGGTCTGTGTGGTTGATCTTTTGTTACACATGATACTACAACTACAGCACGGCCTTTGTATCCTACTATCTGCAATTAATTTTATTTCTTTTATACAAGAACAAACTGAAATATATTTTGTCTTTCATTCTTACTACCTACTCTTATACTAGGAAATGTTTTGTTCTCAGGTGTACTGTTTACACCAGGTATGCTACCAGCTGATCTGCCTTCACATTCATAGCGAAAGCGTAAAGCTTTACTTGCTGGTTGTTCTACTATTTCAACATATGGCAATAGCCGTCCAGTGTTCATTTCCACTGGTGGTGGATCCTCCCTTCCACTATACTCTGCAAACCCAGGATCAGTAGTTTGGATGACTTCAACTGTGTAATAAAATTTGAGATAAAATATCTAAGATTTAACACAAAATATACCAAAAGGTATAATAAAATTTTCAATACTTACTGACATCACTTATATTTATATTTCCATCACTCATACCATGGAATTGTTCCATCCCTTTTACTGGTTAGTGCATTGAACAGTAGCCATCTGAAAAGTGATTCCTGTTTTAGTATATGTTGTTATTTAAAACTGTTGAACTAGCTTCTATATCATGTTTCAATATTTCTTAGAAACGTAATAACAATTTTATCAATACGAGAATATACAATAGAGAGAAGTCAAGAAACTCCTCTTCGCTCTTTGATGTATATTTTGAACGTTTTATTAAAGGAGGAAAAGTTAACCACATGACCCGCACTTCACAGAAACTTGGTAGCATCGTAAAGAAAAAAATTTTGCGCGCGTATCATTAAAACGAGCATAAATATAACTGGTTGAGCACCAATAAATACCTAGAAGTGAAGAGAGCGGTATCGCAGAAGGATAGATTCGCTTCGAGGATTAATTTATTTGATCTACACGAAAAATCGAACGTTCAAACGTGTGGATTGCACATCTTTGCGGAAAATATGTGTGTTTATGTCGCAATATAGGCGATGATTGACGCAAAACGTGTTAGGCGTAACTTTTTTATTAGCACCAACGAAAGAATCGGATGTGAGTTAACAGGCATGAATAAAAGTTTCGTGTTAAACTTCTATTGAACGCGAACGACAGCTGTTCACAGGTATACTTCCAGAGGCACTGCACACAAGTGTCCCAAGGGAAGAGAAACGAGAGTAGAGGGCGAGGAGGGATACCACGCTGATCCAATCATTATTTTGGGAAAGCCTAGGTCCGTACAAGCCGTGCAGCTATAATTAAACTATCGTAGGACAATGTGACGAGAAAGACTTGCCTGCAACTCGATCAACATAGTAAGGCACTTTCGAACGCTGAAAGCAGACGCACTTCTTGTTGGATTTCTCTTACCAGGAAAAACCTATGTTCCTGAAATTTCTTTAATGAAATCGAACGAGTAATCTGGTGAAAAGGAAACACGCGAGATATATATCGGATATGCGATTCAAATTTTCTTACTCGCGGAACACTGCTGCGCACACCATTCGCACACGCGACATAAAAGCGTGCACGGCCGTGACTAGAAACAAGACTTAACGCGGCACAACATTTCGCTCGAACTTTGCATCGGTACTGGCATGCTCGTTGCTTCCAACGGTAGGAGCAGAGCAAGAGCTCCGTGGATACGCGCAAGTACGCGTACTCCGACGAATGTACGCCTGTAGCTATTAGAAGTGAATATCAGCATGTATAATATTCCTATTTTCGGTTGCTTCTCAGAAATTAATGCACCGATAACGTCAGATTTTTTAACATTTTACTATATATAAATATATATTTTATCTTATCTATCAAAAACCTCCATTGCTTTTTCCCGCCTATTTAAGTAATAGACTTCACGTTTGAAAATCATTAAGAGATCAAACGTGTCCAGCGTACTCTGGCGTGAACAGACTATCACAGATCTAAAATAAGTTTGCGTCTAAGGTTCATCGCATTTATCGTGTGCAGATTAAAATTCAGGAACGTAGTTAGTTTGTTTGTGTTAGGTGCTTGGTGCCCGATGACTCATTCAGACACGTCACATAACTCTGTTTTATCATGCGGAATTGTAAGGCGTTAGGTAATCACTCGAATTTACTTTAAGTATTATATTTTATTATAGTAACATAATTCTACGAAATATTATTTAATATTTAACAGCACAAATGTCTATAGCAATTTCAATGTATAGTCTTGAAACAACTTGAAGGTTGCTGTTTTTTTCCACGTCCCTAATTGTTACCCTTTGGAAATACCTATGTAAATTATCAATTAAGCATCGCCTGTATGGAAGTTCGAGCTTTCAAAATGTTTCGCGACGCAAATAGCGTCAGCTGCTTGCGGTTTGCGATTACACTGTAAATCAGATCTATACATTACATAAGTTCTAATCGTTTCTTGCGTACATGGACGTAGGTGTATATACTCGATTTATGCAATTCCACCAAGTAGCGCATTTGACGCACGTTGCCGTGCGACAATTCATGTATACCTACTACGGTTATAATGAAAAATCAAGAAAAGGAAAAACGAGAAGGAGAATTATTACAGAAAGAATTTTATTCCAGATATTAATGACGTATCGAACAAGTTGAACATGTCAACAAGTGATAATGTTAATAAATCTGTCGTATATTAAAAAGTAACGGCACATTCCGGTGAAATACTTATTAATTACGATGTTTCTTTGTCATTTTACTTTTCGTGTCGTCTCCATGACAAGAACAAACAACGTCATTGAGATTTCTCAAGAGTTTACTCGTGACTACAGAAAACAATGCCAGAAACTGCGATCACTCCGAAAAGCACGTCTTCTTTAAGTGCCTCGACGAGCTCCAAGGAGGAGTTGAATCAATTTCTCGTCGAGAAAGGATTCACGCGATGCGTGCAACATAAATTTCTAACGTACACCCAACTTCCCGTAAGATGTCAGAGACCCAGCCGGTATTACCATCCGCCAAGAACTTCCTTCCGTTTGACCAACCTAACGAAGATTAATCGTACATCTGCAATTAATACCGCGAAAAGCTGTCCAGAAAATTCGTTATGCTCGATATTTCACAGGATAAATACACCGCGTTACAAAAAGAGCTTATCGATGATTGATCTCACACCTTTAGTGATGGAGGCTGAAAGTGGCGAACAGAGGTAAAATTCGTCGAAAAAATGACGCTCAATTAAACGTAACAGGTTGAACAATTCGTTTTTATTTATAACACAGATCAGACAGTGGTTCGACGTTAGAAAAATTCGACGAAAATGACAAAATCAAGGACATAACTACCAGCGAAATGGGAATAGGTGTCGGTATTAAAAAGTGGATGGACGGTTTCGATGTATTGGAATCGAACGAAGGATGTTCACGATTTTGCCGAGATCCAACAAAAGCGGCAAATTTGATGTGTCATGTTCTCATGTTGAACGCCTGGAGACAGAGAAGAAGCGAGGTGCAATTTCTTTACGGGAAGATAGAGGACATGAGCCAACAGATCGAACACTTGCATCTTCAGATCGTTGTACTGCGTCGATTACTCGACACAGAGAATGGTCGTGTCAGTAGACTCACTGGCGAGGTTCATCGTGCCAAGGTGCAGTTCGATGAAACGTTTAAAGAAAGGAATACACTGAGATCGGTAAATCGTTCAGTATATATATACATGTATATAAATTCGATAGGATTTCATTTAATATGAAACAACTGTAAGAGACAACTTTCATGCTTTTGTATTCCCGAAACTGCGTGATGCTGTACACTGGCAAGAATTATCAGCTATACATGCTCGACATCACACGAGAGTTCAATGACGTGTATCTAACTAGAGGGATGACGCTAGCATAAGAGCTCGCGACACGAGTTTTGGCTCGAGCAATAATATAGTTACCGAGAGGATAGAATTTTTGGCATTCCTCGAGTTAAACGAGAATACCCTCTTGAACAAGTTCAATAGCGTGTCACGTGGCTATTGTATTACCTTCGTGGTAAATTTTCACCCGATTTTACACCGTCGAAATTCCATCGTATCGCGGGAGAAAAAAAACAGAAATCGCATCGTTCACGGTGAACCGAAAACATTTTTCTCATCGATCGAATATTCACGCGTGAACGAGCATTTACTGGGGTCGATGTGATGGCAATGTGCGTCGTAGCCGGCCATTAATTAGTATATACTGTACACACAGTCGAGAAGTTGGCACCGGTCCAGCAAGCTAATTGTGAAACGAAAGAAGAAACTGTATCTCGACAACACTGGCATAGATAAAACCGGGAATCCGGTTCTAGTGGCTTTCGGGGATGTACGAAGTTCAACTTAGCCACACGGTGTATCGCGTTTACTAACAACTGGGTTACTTCTGTGTTACAGGAAAAAGGGAATATGGAGGAGGAGATAAAGCGACTGAACGAGCTTTCCGAGGAGAGGCTGGTCGTCACGGAGAACGTGAGGAACGAGCTGTTCACAGCGCAAAACCAGCTTCGCGCACTCGACGAGCAAATGTCGAAGGATCGTGAGAAATTGTTGAAATTACGCGAGGACAAGAGGATACTTTTGGAAAAGGCTAGCCATCCGAATGGTTGAAATATTGTACATAGTCTTATAGAGTAATGTTCAGTGGAAGAATGGTTGTTGCTTGCGAGCTTACATCCAGACGCCACTGTAAAAATTGATTTCGCTCGGTGACTCATTGTTGTGCTCGTGGGAGGCGAGTCTTTAGAAGAGGGTGAGAAACTCTCTGTTCGAGCGCAGATTTCTACTCTTTTCTATAAAGCAATGAGTCATCTGTTCACCCTTCTGAATCTTTTGGGGGAGGGACTCTTTTAAATGGCACCCAGTATCAATGGAGAGAAATGTCAGAGGACTGTATGGAAAGAAATTTGAGAAATTTTCATCTATGAGGTTTTTCTTTTTTCTTCTTTTTCCTCGCGTGAATACTTCCAAATATCTCTGGATCAAGGGTGCTAATACGAAGCTGATGTACTTGTTAGATAGGTCAACGCACGAAAGGATATAGTTCGCGGTTGAGTCATACTCTTTCTGCTTTATCGGTGACTCAATAACATGTAATACTCCTTCTGTACCAAGAAAAAGGGATCGATACCACTTGACCTATTAATTCCCGTACTCGGCGTAGAATCGAAACGAAAATCGCAGCAATGCTGTTCACGCGAAATGTGTTACTTTGCGCTAGTTCATCTAGATAATTCCATGTAATATGTATTCGATAAATGTATTACAGGTGACAGCCAGCGAGACACTGGTCACAGAACGAGGAACCAGAGTGGAAAAAGCAGAATCAATGGTGGAGGATTTGCAATTAAAATTAGCAACGCAGATTGCTCTGGTCGAGTCTTCTCAGGAACAGATAGAACGATACACGAAGTAAATGCGACGATTTGAAACATTCTTCGTATGCGTATTACTCGAATGTAAAGTTAAATGTATTTTTGCAGGCAGTTGAAAGAGAAAGAGGATGAAAAGATGAAGTTGTTGAAACGTTTAAAATTGACTGAAGATACGGGGAAAGCACTAAACTTGCGTGCTATTGCCATGGAAGTTCAGTTGTCCGATCGAGAATCAGCCCTGCAACGTATGCAGGCAGCCTACAATTCCCAATTGTGAGCTATTCTTTTCTATCGATTTTTTCTGCACGGTTGATACAGCTTTACATTGTTCTGTTATTGTGTGTTAGAACGGAGCTGAATGAACTGAAAGAACGTCTAATACGGCAATCTCAGGAAGGTGGTTGGAGCACTAGAATGTTGCAAATAGCCGGTAGTGTTGTACGCGCGCCAAGGGCTATTCTGCGTACTTTGTTGGCGGGTCCAGTGTTGACTTCTTAAAGGTAGTTTGGTAAGTAAGAGGTGAAAGTGGTTGTTGGTTAGAGGAACGTAATTATTGCATGCTATTGCAACTTTAGATGCAACTGTTCAAGCGTGATTGCGCCTTCGAGTTTACGTTGAGTTTCATTCAGAAGCGAGTTCGTTCGAAGAGTGGAACTTTTTGAGGGTGGTGAGGATGTTTGTTCGATTGAAAGTTAATTGAGTCAATGGGAGGATGTTTAGCACGAATAGAGGAAGAAGAAGAAGAAGAATTACGCGTGATCGTGGAGGTGACAAAAAAAGGTGGAGGACAATTTTAAAATGGTAGCAAAATTTGGGTCACTTTTATTAGCAAAATTATAACATTTTATTTTTATTTATTTAGTCTTTTTCTTTTTTTTTTTAAAGTTATGTATTTTCTGATATCACGGACTTTACGATACATAGAGTGTTTTAAATCAAAGAGAAACGAACTATTCTAAAATATGTAATGCTATGTATAATGATCAGAACTACGCAAAACTGGGGATGGATAAATAAATGCAGATAACGTGTGCTTTTTTAAATCTATATTTTACACCCTTTTTTCGTGTAACATGATAAAGTGATAAAAATAAGATACCGTCAGCATTGCTAAGGCGTTAGGTAATAATCCATCATGGAGGTTGTTCTCTTTCAATTACGAAACAACAGATACATTTTATAATTGATAAACATGTATATACATATAATCGTAGTTTCAGCAGATTTTACATAACGTCTACGTTTTACAGTTTGAACAAAGACAAAACATAAATTGCATGTATTTTAATAGAGCGATGCTCACGGCATATTATTTCTTTCAAAACACGTTACAGTAGATCGTAAAATCTAAGTAACCACGCACGAGTGACACAAATACGACGTGTCTGATCACATTTCTCATTATTGTGTACTTAAGTACAAGATAAAATTATTATTTTTTTCGTTTCGTTTCGTTTCGTTTCGATAACAACATCATCTTTGCGGTATGCTTCTCGTACACTTTTTACTTTTTTTTTTTCTTTCCTGTCGGTACTGTATAGTAATCCTTTCTCATTCTCGAGGCTTTCGTACACGGTAAGTGAAGACACGGCACAAATGTTTCAGTGGAAGATTCGTTCTTTGTTTTATCACAAAATCGTTTCATATTTGAGTATATCGTTAGGTGTAACATTTTTTACGTAATTTCATCTCTTTTTTTTTGTTTTGTTTTTTGTTCGCTAGTCGATCTAAGACATCTTTTATTGCGTATACTTAATCGCGACAATAAATAATGCTGTCCTACAATCTTGAGACTGGATTCGATCGTACTCGCCGATTCACCACCTTGATTAACGAATTTGAACAAAGTATGAAAATAAAACGAGAAATTTTGTGCGTGTTAATTTGCTATACATGGGATTTCACGCTACGTATGTGCACTAATTAAAGAAATTACGGACGACATTATATCTACGAAGAAGCCTAAATGCCGTCCTTTGCCGTTAATTCATATTATAATGCCTGAGTATTTTCTTTTCTTTTCAATACTGCGCGTGGTAAGAATTCAGAAAAAAAGGAGCAGTGATAAGAAAAATAATACATTCTCGAGATTGTTCCTAAAAGTGGTGCTCGAGGTAAAAGAATATTTATAGGAAAATACCGATCAAGTGAATGGCCTAATCCTCACGATGACCTTCTCAGACTTTACAATGTGTACGCTATTTTTTTTTTTTACTTTTACTAATTCGGCAACTACAAAAAAACTTTTCATCGCGTATCGATAAACCTGTAGAGTTGAATATATCGAATCTCGTGGCTTGAGGAACGTGTATACGTACATATTTTTTACGGGTAATAAAATTTACAATTATTTTAAACTACAGCAAGCCTTGATACAACAAATTGAGCAATTCAGATGTTTCGTGTTTAAGATTGCTCTTTGTATCACCATTTTGTTGTTTTTTTTTTTTTATAAAAACGTTACCACAAGCCAGTAAAAATATCAATATCGTCGTTATTTTATGTTTTGAAATATATATCGGATTGTTCTTGATAGTCCTTTGGCGTAAACGCAAAAAGAATAACATCAAAAATCGCAGGATTTTACGTATCAAAATGTGCGACAATTGTGGTGTTTTTTTCTGACCCCCATAAAGGGAATGTTCACACTTCTTTTTATCTTAAAGTAAAACTATGTTAATAATACGAAAGAAAAAGAGAATGTTAACTAAATATCATAATTAGATACGACTAGAACTGAATGGACTTTGAATCTCCTTAGATCATACCAAAACCTTCAGTACCCTCACTAATTGCTAATAATAAAGCTCTCTCAAAGTGATCGTAACATTCGTAATCGGGTAAGCAGAGCTGATTGAAGCTGTAAAAATATTTAAACAATGATTAGCCTGTGGATTATCATTTTTATTTAAACGCGTAACGTTACATACCAAGTATGTGCTGTAGGCAAGTTAGCAAAAGTTGGTGCTGCTGTAATCTGAAATCGTGGACTGAGTTGTTGAAATCCACCGGGTGGTAATTGCGAACAACCTGTAGTGAATTGTAATAGTCGGGCCATCTCTTCCCGTGTAAAGTTGCTAACCGCGGTCCAGAACCAATCTAGAACTCTAAGAAACTCTGGAGAACTCCCGTTTGCTATGTGGTGGGCACGTAGATCTGCCACGCTGTATTCACCAGTTCCACATAATAATAACTGGAATAAACGTGAATATAAGGTAAGAATGTAAAAGATATACGAGTATTAAGAAGGTATATTTATATACTTCGAGTTCGTTCTCATCGAAGATTCCCAAAAGATTATCGGGAATGAGTTCGTTCAAACCCCTTAGAAAATGTTCGACTTCGTTTCGTATAGAACTAGCGAGTCTATGTTGCGCAAGTGCGTCCAAATAACGTAGCTTCGTCTCGTTCGTTACACGAATCTTGCTACCTCCGGGAATTAATTCAGCTACCTGTTAAAGTTACAGTAACACAGAGGTGTCAAGGTAAGGTATACGAGTTAGATATTTCCTAACAGGTATCAAGTAGGAAGTTATGGTCGTACCTTTAATAATTGACCGTCTTTATCGTACTCTTCTTCAACGAAATACAGTTCCATTTCCTCGACATCATTCTCGAGAATATACTTTATCTTGCTCAGATATAAATCCGGGTCGTCTTGTTCGAAATACTGAATACCGATAAAATATTATAGATTTATTTTAACATAATATAAATATCCATGAAATATTTTACCTTATAATGCACTCTGAGGCCTATGATTTGCGCAAGAAATGATCTTGTGAATCTTGCTCGCACTAATTGTCGATAGGAACCACCAAGTGCCGATTCGTAGAGGCATTTGCCCACGATTCGTCCTGCAAACTCGTAGTGTTTTAACTTGAGATGTGAAGGCCGTTTACTGTTAGGATGAACTAGTGCCTGTTGTGATTCTACAAACGTCGCGAATAAGCCGTTTCCAGGATCGAATAGTGCCGCACAAATTAATTCAAACCATTCTCGTCTTACACCACCCCAGTCGACGCCTAAAAATCAACGTTAAATACGTTACTTTTCTTCAAGCGAATGAAAATATTTTTTCATAAGTGGAACGCACCTTGTTCACCCTGAAAGGTGATCTCGAAATTTCTACACCAATCGCTCACGGAAAATCCTTTGGTTGCTTTCATGGACTTAAAGAAGAAGAAACGATAAATGTGTGCATTTGAGTGGAGTGTGGATTATTTAAATGGACGACTGAAATTTACCGATTCCAACAGTTTCTCGCGTTGAACTTTTATCGAAAGCTTTTCGTGGTAATGTTTCTGATGATGCTTTCTCACTTCATGATAAAAGAAATCTTGTTTGTCGGCGAAAGTTTCACTTCCACCTATGTTTTTCAACAAAAACAACGTAAATGTAGCGGCTATTATATCTCGATAGAGAGAAATTAATTCAACGGGTGGCTGACATCCATCATCGATAGAAAAAGAGTCGTAACCATCGTACTGATTATTCGAACAATCAAAATGGAACTGAAAGATATCGTTTCAAAATTATTCCACGTATTTTACACATTTACTACAGAATATCAGCGTTCTCCTTTTTCTCAATGGTTTCGCTTACTTTAGTAGATGGACAAAGCCTGAAAGTAACGAGTCTCTTCGGTATGATTCTTAACAAGTATTCCTTAATCGTAAGCTGTTTAGGCGAAATAAAGCAGACAACTTTTTTTGGTTTCGAGAATTTCTCGCCCTGCATGCCCAACAATTTCGCCGCGTAGCAAATGTCTGGGTCCTTTGAGGCCACGTTATTGTGCACCATTCTGGCAACATCACCTGTGATAAGAAAATTTGGTAAAAAAAAAAATAAACAAACGAAGCACGAAATTGTATGAACAAAAAATTGAAAAAGAAAACATTATTCGTACTCTCGAGGACAATGATGTCGAAATCGCCATTATGCAGCTGTAAACCAGCTAAACTAACTGTCGCATGATAACAGCCACCCTTTGGAAAACTAACTTTCAAATGAATCCGCTGATTTGGAGAGTCGTAATCAAGTTGTATACTACAATTCGTAACAGCCGATTTATCCACTACATTACCAATCTGTAATAAAAAAAAAAAATAATATAAAAGAAATATTACAATAACAGATATATCAATCGGTTCCTGAGTGATTCTTTCACTTGCCTGAGTGATGTTAACTTGGTAGCCTTCCGTGGGTTTATCTCCAGGTCCAAATATACATAGATTATCGTACTCGTCCCGCGGTTCTATTGTCATACAGTGTGCAATTCCAGCTGTACAAACTACCGTCGAACTTTGTCGCACGAATACGGTCTTATTTGGATCTGGAGGACCTGATTAAACGAAAGAAAATTTAGCTGTACAATTCAACCTCTCTACACTTAACATTTCAATCGTTTAAACGTACCGGGAAGAAAATTTTTAAGAAACGGGCTACCGTGAACGTGACAAGAACCAATAAGTACGGCTATTCGATATTGTCCAGCATGGCGGACAGTAAATTTCACCACTGCAGTGTTTGCAGCTAACGGGTCGGTGCCTCCCAGCTCTATCAGGGTAGCTACCCTTCTTGTTCCTTCTGTGACCTCAACGATCAGATTGTCTTTGTCACAGATTGGGTAAGGTTGGCCGTTGCGTTGATAAAACTGCAAAGCACATATATACAAAAAGTGAAATATCATCGTGTTTGCTACTCTTTTATAAGTGTTGCACAGCATGTGCAATAAAAGAGTCATTTCTATCGACGATAATAGTTGTTGTTGTTCCATTGGAATATACGTTTAGAAAGTTCCATTGCGTACATACCTTCACTGTGAACGTCATTGTCTCCCCCACGAGCCGTGGTTCGTCCCATGCAAAATGAACCCGGCAGTTGCTCGGTAGCAAATACTTTCCAGTCACATATTGCAGTAGGGAATGTTTAGCCTCTGGTGCTAGAGCTGGCTGTGTCATAGCAGCCAGGGTCACTAACCCTGCCACAGACACAGAAACTACCAACATTCCACCTGACAGAACGCAACAGAAAGAAAGTTACTCGATAAGTTTCTCTCCTCGGACGTGTTACTCGTGAATTATGCAATCGAGAGAATCGTTTTTAAGGGGGAAAAAACGACGAAGGGTAAAATATGTATACCCCATGTCCAGGCGTCCTGATGTTGACTGTTCTTCACCACAGCGCTCCATAGATCAGCCTTGAGGGTTTCTAAATCTTCCTTTGATATAGGCAGCGTTTGCCTCGCCTGCATCCAACGCGGCAAATCCTTGCCAAGCGCTGCAAGTGCCTTGTGACCCTCCATCCAGTATACATCTTCCAGAGACATCACTCCCATTTGCATCAACCTGGTGAAATGAAAAATGTTAATTGTCTCATTTCTCCTTTTTCAACAATAGAAATATCATTATTCGTTACATTATTCTCTATCTACAATATGATAGTATCAATTGAACAGTTCTTCCTGAAATTTCTGAATGTATCATTTTAAGAGTAAATACTATCAATTCAATTAAAAGTGCAATAGAAAGGAAAAAGAAGGCAATGAGAGAAGGAGAGTAGGTTAGCTAAAATTATTAATAAGAATATACATAGTTAGGAAATAAAGCACGAGTGTGTGAGTGACAAGACAAAATGAGGCATGAATAGATGAGGAAATAGTATATTATAAATCAAGTTCTTCTCACAGCCATCAGGCTCAAAATAAATAAATACATACTGTCAATTCAATTTCTCTACCTGAAACCAGATTTAACCCATTTTACCCGTTAGTTAAAAAAAAAAAAGAAGAACAAACGCGGCTTAATTAAAGCACTGCAGCGTGATTCAGTCAGGCAGAATAAATTTCGCTCACTTTTGGTAATGGCTATGCAGGCCATGGTCCGCCAACCACTGGCGTAAAACGAGTCTCTGCTGTAACAAACGTGCTGCTCGTTGCAATCGTTCCTCGTCCTGTGCCGGCAGTTCCGGTAACGCGTCCACTTCGCCGCAGCTCGCAAGGGTTGAGATGCCTGCAACAATTTCCATTCTTCTATAATCATCCGTAAAATTCTCAAGGATCGATCGAATCGTTTCTGTGTCGCACACTTCGTTTAAAAAAAAAAAAAAAAAGAAGAAGAAATAGAGCAAAATATCGTATCATTTTTCTAATTAGAGTCTCATGGGGATTCAGCGATAACGGACACGAGTATCTATCAACGGGAAGTGAAACCAGATAAATTCGACGAGCTCTCGTCCGCCTTCGTTTCGTCGTCGTCAGTTGTAAAAACCGTGGAATCGCGACAGGCCACTCAGAATGCAACGTACGTCGCTGTTCGTTTCTCTGTTGTGCATTCTCAAGTGCATCGGAGTTGTACTCGCGATATGCACCGTGAACAGGCACGCAGGAGGTGAGGTAGAAACTCTTTCGATTGATCCCTCCTTTGTCGAATGTGAATTTGGCACAGGGCAAATTTCCTATCTTCTCTTTCCTCTGTACGAAATTTCTATCAGTCGATAGAGAAGAAAAAACGACCTAGAGGAAATGTAAGAAAAATCTCACCAAGTTTCTCATCGAAATACAGGATCTGGCAATCGTCTGCAATGCTCCAACGTCACTCTGCAGACGATCTCGAACCAAACCACCGACGTCTCGGCGATAATGATCCTCAACTCGAATATCAAATACATTCCTGACAGAGCGTTCGTGAAATTCGCGAGATACTTGCAGTCCTTGAATGTTCATAACTGCAACGTGATCGATGTCCATTCGGAAGCGTTCGTCGGATTGTCTAGCGTGAAGAAGCTCAGTCTTCCTAACAATAATATCAGTCTGGTGAAGGAGGACTGGTTCAAGGATCTGGTATATTTGGAACAGTTGGATCTGTCTTTCAATCGAATCGCCAAGTTAGAACCTGTAGTTTTCAGTAGGACGCCGCTTCTCAAGCATCTCGATATCAGAGAGAATCGTCTGACTTGCTTGGATCCGTCGATTTTACCGGGTGGTATCAGCAAGGTCTACTTTTACGGGAATCCCCTGACGTTCAAGTGTCGAGGGAAGGTAAGAAACTCTCCGATAATTGTTCATCTCCGACAATCAGAGTCAGAAAGTGAAAAAAGAATTCCTTGGAATACTCGCGTTAATTTTTCATCGATCGATAAATGATTGATCGACGAAAGAAGGATGCCTCGGTAGGGAGGTAAATAAGAAAGGAAGAATTGTAACAGTTGTTGAATGGACAGGGATTGGCAGTGTCGCGGAATATGGATGTGACGATTCTGGTTTATGTATCGATTTGGAAATTACAGTTAACTCTGTGGATGCGGGACCACGGAGTAAGCTGCAGGACCGAGATGAGCGAGAAGGAAGCATGGTTGGACAAGCCACTCTGGCACTGCGCCATCAGCGACGCGAACATCGCCAAATCGGAGGCATTGCTGAAAGAATGCGTTATCCTGAATTTATTTAATCAGCTTCGTACAGGCTTGACCACTGCGGAATCGTATCCTTTGGACGCGAAGTGCGCAGATATGAGAAATCGTCTGACGAATTGTATAGCCGTGGAGGCGAACATGTCTCGCAATCTTACTAATGGAAACGTAACGAAGATGCTACTTCTTTATTTACGTCAGAACAAGTCTTTGCGTTAATCAGTCTCTGTATTGTAAATTAATCTTTGTATTGTTAATTATCTCTGCATTGTAAATTAATCTCTGTGCTGTAAAGCCCTGCTACGTTTAACGGTGTATTAAAAATAACGACGTTGCAATAAGTACGGAAATTGTTTATTTTTTCTATGTAGAAATTAATAAGTAACGCATGAATTACGGAAACGTGTGGAAATTAACAAATAACATATTTTTTCTATGTGAAAATTAAGAAATAAAATATTTTTTCTATATGGAAATTAGCAAATAACATATTTTTTCTATGTGGAACTTATTACATATCATTTTTTCTATATGGAAATTATTAAACAACATATTTCATGACATATTTTTTCTGTGTGAAAATTAACAAATAACATATTTTTTCTATATGGAAATTAGCAAATGACATATTTTTTCTATGTGGAAATTAGCAAATAACATTTTTTCTATGCGGAACTTATTAAATATCATTTTTTCTATATGGAAATTAGCAAATGACATATTTTTTCTGTGTGAAAATTAACAAATAACATATTTTTTCTATATGGAAATTAGCAAGTAACATATTTTTTCTATGTGGAAATTAGCAAATGACATATTTTTTCAATGTGGAACTTATTAAATAACATACTTTTTCTATATGGAAATTATTAAATAACATATTTTTTCTATGTGGAAATTAGCAAATAACATATTTTTTCTATGTGAAAATTAGCAAACAACATACTTGTTCTACGTGGAAATTATTAAAATACAGAAACGTGAAATTTCGCAGGAAGAATCTGCAAAGTTTTATTTCAATCTCTTACTCAATCTGTCTATGAAAGAGAATGATTACCCCAGCGGTGAAAAGAGATACGCAACGTTCCATAAAGTTTTAAACGCAGAGAGACTCGGTATCAGAGATTTTTTCTTTCCCCTTGCCTTCGTTCACACGGAAGGAATATCCATTTTTTCTCCCCCCCGGCGGCAATTCAATTCGTAGCCCCCTTTTGAACTGTGTGGAAATAGCTTTTTTCTTTTGTTCAGAATCGGAAAAAAGGTTTACTCACCGGAAGAAGCGCTACCGCTGGGTCGTAGCGACATGCCGATGGACGATATCTCGTCGGCAAAGAAGTCTTTGTCGCGTTGTCCGTCTCGGCAGCCTCGATTTTTGTCCGGCATAATTTCCTCCACGCTGTTCCCTGGCTCGTCAACTTTTCGTTCTTTCTCTTATCTTTTTCTCTCTTTTCGTTCGTTTCCGCCTCTTTACCGACTACGAAGCATTTCGTTTCGTTTCACCGTCGCATCGCTCGCTCGTCACGAGGTCATCTTTCACGAAAACATCATTTTTATGTACACTCGGTGCTATCCTTTTTGCGAGAAGATATCACGCTGGATGAAAGTTTAATATCTCCGCGAAGGGTCTCGGGGTTTTCGCGACTCGAGATCGATTCGACTCGGACGAATCGCGTGCGATAAATCTATCTATACCGCGGTGAAGAACAATGAAACGCACTCTGTGCGCTTTGCTTTCGACTCGTCACCCACGCGTCCACCAGTCTGTGATTACGACGATCGAATGACGAACAGACAACGACAGCTGCAAGGTACGTGCAAGTATTGTCAAGCGGATGATTAACATTTCGACAGGTGTGCAAACATGCAGGTGCATTTTATTATGAGATGCGTTAGAACGGTAACGAGAGCGAGGCTTTGCCTCTTCGATTGTACCGATAACGAATAGAAACTCGACGGTACACGCTGTACTAGAGCTCTGAAACATCGAACAGTCGATAGTACCGAATGTGAATTCTTTATTGGGACAGCTGTGACAACTCTCCCGATAAACTGATGTCCGGAGAGTTCCACTAAAATCGTGTGATAATTGTAGTGTGCTCTTCGAAAGCTAAACGAGTTCTTTTTTTTTCGAGTGTTTATGTTCGCTCTTTTATCAACTAGGTGTGTGTTGTGATTGGTGGTGTGAATGTGAAGGAGGTGGTGGAAGTGTGTGGTGATTGGATTTTTCGGAATGCTCGAGGGGTGTCTGTCTGATGGTGTGGAAGTGGGGAAATTGTTATATCGCTGTGTACATAGGTTTTATGGTCTTGACGCATGTGGTGTCCGGGTGTAGAGTCTTCGAAATTTTTACTGTAATAAAGCAATTGACGGGCCACGACTTCTAAGACTTCTCTTTAGAAATGCTGTTTCTATGGAAAGGTCGTCGGTACGCCGGAACAATTTGAACGGGTAGAATTCAGGTTTGAACTTGGAATACTTCAACTATTACACTCGATAATACTCTACGAAGTTGGAATTTTCGTAACACTCCTAATCTATAATTTCCTATCTTCGTTAGATCGAACAGACGTACCTTCGAAATAATTCCTGTAACCGCGTGATCTACATACATAGTAAATCTATAGAGCAGTAGAAGAATCTCTCATTTGTAAAGACAGAAGAGAACGGTAAGAAAGCAACGGTTGGGAAAACGCATCAATCATAGCTCGAAAGACGAGAGAACACTTTGCGTTCCAGCTTACAGCCGGTGTACGCGATTAATTTGAATTAGCAGTCGGGTGAAAGCGAGCCGTGAAGTTTGACGAGGTCATGCGGAACCAGGGAATCGGGGGAACACGAACAAACGGGTAGTCGATGGATTTCGCCTGGAACGATAAGGAAAAGCTCGCTTTCGCGGCCTACGCTTTCCACCGACGTGAATATCTTTCGTTCCCTCCCCCCTGGAAAGGGGGACACGGTATAATTCGGCATGGGAGCCGATTTTCCTGCCAACTGCAACGGACCAACCTTTCTACTATCCAGGAGTTCCCTCTCCCCTCTCGGTGTCGCTCGAGTTTAAGGATTAAGCTTATCCGGTCGTGTGCTAAGCTATCGAAACAGTGGAACGGGTAAAAGGGAACAGCAGAGAGTGAGCGAGAGGGAGAGAGAGAGAGGAGTAGAGTTTCGATTGTGAGGTATTTCGAGGCAGAGAGTGCATACTTTTGCCTCGCGTTGACCCAGATCCACCCGACTCTCTGTTCGAGTTTTCGAAGAGATTGATAGCGGTTTTTCCGACCATTTCACACAAACGATTGTCCATTTGGTCTATCGGCCTGTCCGATTAAACGTCGCCAATTAACCGATCGTCGATCAATAGGACAGGAGAATAGCGAGGAGACGGAGGAGGAGAAGAGAGAGGGAGAGGAAGGGAGAGAGATTTAATCAACGGGAAACAGATACATAGGTTACTATGAATTAAACGGTCCCCCGAAAAGCGGGTCAAGAGTCCACTCGAGGTCGAACCGGGGTTATCGTACCCGTGTTTTCCGCGTTCATCTCGTTTCCCCGTGGCGCGATTTATCGGCCAGCCGTGCACACTGTGGCAATTGCGACTGATAAAAAA